TATTATGTTTAATTCATATTGCTTGATGGCTACTATGTCTCATCTCCCAAGCTAGACCATGATATAATTTCTGTGTCTTCCAGAGTCCAGTCCCAGCTCTGAGCCCCGCAGAGAGAAAGACTGCTTCTTTTCTAATAACCTGAACATTATTTGTAACTTGGTTCTATTCTGGGAACTTTCCTGGTCAAGGTTAAATTCTACATCTCCTTGATTCCGAATTCTATTAACAACAACAACCAAAAAAACAAACAAACAAAAAAACACACCAATAACTGTAAAGTTAATCTAATCTATCAGTCATGTAATGTCTTTTGAAAGAATTTGATAATGAATAAGGCCTCATGATCTTGAGTCATCAAATTTTCATTCAGGCCTATGTAACTTTACAAACAACTATCACCCCAATAAACTTTAATTTAAAAAAAAAAATTCCTGGACCGCCCAAGTGGCTTGTTTGTTAAGAGTTGGCTTGGGATGCCAGCTCTGGGCAGAAGGACCCTGGTTCGGATCCCACATGAGGGCCAGTGATGCTGCGCCCTCTACAGCTAAGATGGTGAACAACAGCTCGACCTGGAGTTGGGCTGCCATGAGTCGCTGGCGCCGGTGTCAGCATAGGCTGCAGCCCCTTTTATTTAAAAAAAAAAAAAAGTTTCTTCAGGTTTTAACTTTTAAAAAGATCAATGACAGTGGAAAATGGAGTCCAGGTGGCTTAGATGAATAGCACTTAATAGAAATTAGGGGCCCTGGTTTGTGTCCTATCTCAGCCAGTGATTGCTGTGTGAATTTAAGCAAGTCACTTTGCTATCTGAAATTGTTCCTTTATCTTTAAACTCAAAAGATTAGACTGCGATTCATATTCACAACTATTTGTGGGTCAGAGATCCCTCTGAAATTCTGCTGAAAACTGTGGCTTTTCTTCCCCAGAAAAGCACAAATACAAGTATAAATAGAATTCCAAGAGGGGTCAGGGGATCTCTGTAATCCACCCACAAATTCCCTAGAGGGCTTTAGAATAATTTCAAAGGTCTAAAGTATGTGGTTGAAAAAAATGAATCCTTTTACATTTGCTACTCCCAATGCGAATTCGTTTTAAAATGTAGATTTGGGACACTTATGCCACTTGAAGTTATAATTACTTTTTGTAACATAGAGTACTGACAGCAGAGCAAGTTTTTCAGTAGAATGAAAAACAAAAGATCTCCTTTGTGGATTAATAGCATCTCAGGTGAGTGAGGTTGGCAGTCTACCCTGCTAATCAGTGCAGGATTTCTTTTATAACTCACCTCAGAGATTGAAATTTAGTTTTGATTTGAACACACACAGTAATGGGGAGCTCATTTACATGTTTATTGCTGAGCAAACATAAAGAGTTTAGGAATTTTCTTCTTTTCTTGAGCTCTGATTGGCCCCCACCACATAAATGTCAGCTATTAACCCTATTTCTGCTGTCAGGAGCTACATAAATAAATTTTATTTCTTTTTCCAGTCTTTTAGGAATTCTGTGGCAGCCTCTCTTAATTTTTTCTATGTTAAACATTCCAGTTTCACGTATAATTCTTCTAGAAAAGTGATTTTGTAAAACTACTTATAATCCCAATTACCTTTTTCAAAGGAACTCTTGAAACAGAAAGCTCAAAATTAGGCAGCATGATGCAGAAAAGGTCTGATCAACACATGATTAGAGAGCAGTTCCCTCTCTTAATGTCACTACCAAGAGCACCATTCCTAGAAACAGGTGACTTTACTAGGTCATGTTGAAATTGTGGTCACCTGAAACCTCTAAGTATAATCAATCTAGGGTGCCCTCATTCTCTATTTTTTAGAAGCAAAATAATCTTTCTAAAAACACAAATCGCTGTTGACCTCTCCCTTAATTGCTTAGGCCATCTTTCCAGCTCTTGGAAACCTTCTGAAATACTAACATTGTCATCCATTGTGTCATCTCTTCTTCCAAGTTTCGTGTCATCTACAAATGTAATAAACCTGCCTTGTTTTTCTCCAAATTTATTGAAAAACAAATTGACCTGAGGTTTGCCCAATATAAGCCTCACTCTATGGATTCATTATTCATAATTCTTCACGCAGTCACTTCACAACTTCATCCAGCTCACATTTAACCTCCTGATCTACAGAATGGACAAGAGTGTGAAGATTATATTCTCTTTGAAGGCAACGCATTTCTTTTCCTTACTTCTTTTACTCGGCCTACTTTCTTGCCTCAAACTCTATTTTTTTCTTTTTCCTTCCTTCACGTATTCATACTGCATGTCCTGGTCTTCTACATGATTTCCTTACCTGTGTGTCCATTTTGCTATGGAGAAAAGATCCTCCATTCGGTTTAGTGGGAGCCCTTTGTCTTCTGCCTGGGTGCAGGGCTGCCTGAGTCTGTGCTGGCCCCAGGAGGCCTCCTGCAATGCATGGAGAGTCAGTGCCTATGCAGGTGAGGAGTTTTGCCACGTGCTCATTAGCACTTGGCAGAGGAGGCTCTGAGAATTTCATCAACACCCCCAGACCAAGTCATTTTCCTCCACCTCCAGATTACTCAAATATCAAACGAAGGTTCAAAGAAAATTTAAATATTAAGTGTATGTGTGTTTGGAGCTAGGTAGGAGGTGGGAAGTGGGGAGAAAGAGATGATTAGACAGCCCTCACAGACTTCACACTTTAATTTTAGCATTATTGTACCTACAACCAAGTAAATATTGCTGATAGGGAAAAAAAATCAAAACACAAGTTAACCAACCACCCATTATCCAATGGAAAGATAACATTCATGTAAACTGCTTTGGGAGCCAAAGAATTTGTGGTGCTGTAGAGATGTTCTGCAGAACAGCTCTGTGATATGTCACCAGCTCCTGCCTCATCAAAACCTTTCCCCTGGAAATATTAGTCACACTCAAATAAGCCTAAGAAAGGCACCTTCCAATGTTTGCCCAAGTGGGTGATTTTACTTTAAAAAAGGCTTTCCCCATATAACGTTGTGACCATTACTATTATAAAATAAATCAAATGTGGATCAGGATAAGCAAGTGAACTTATGCTCAAGTATGGGAAGTTGATTAATAGTTGATTAATGGTTTAATAAGTTGGACATTTTGGTTACCAATTTTTTAAAACATTTAACCAACCCCTCATATAGAAAAAGTAATGTTGGCATTAAGTTATTAACCCTAATGTAAAGAAAATTTTCTTGAACGCAACTTTATTACTCTATAGTCACCTTGTGAATGAAAGAGATGAACTCTGGGGGCGGTAGAATCTTTGCAAACCCAGGGAGGTACAGACAACCCCAGCTCAGGAAGCAAAGTGCCAGACAGCTGACTGATTACAGTGCTTTACTATTTCAGAGGGAATCCCAAGGTCATCTGAGCCACATTAATAGGTACTGTAGACTGTGATAAATCCTAGCAAACGTTAGGAAAGCCTACGTCAGCATCTAAAAAGGTAAAGGTAAAAATAAGTTGGGGTCCGGCTGAGTGGCTCAGTTGGTTAAGAGCTCGCTGAAGAGTGCGAGCTCTGAGCAACAGCGGTTCGATGCCGGGCCTGAGATGAGCTGCTGCTGAGCTGCCTACAGGTGACAGGATGGCTAAGGTAAAAAAATAAATAAGTAAATAAGTTGGAGTCTCCTAACAACAGAATTTTGACTCATTCACTCATTCAGTCAGTCAGTCGATTAATCAGTATATACTGAGGGACTATGATGTGTCAGGACTTCTTTTAAAACTACATTACCCTTATTACCTAGAACAATTCACTTATCTTCTTGGAGTTTGAATTTTACCATCCAGGTATTTATCTCGTGGAGTTGTTTTGAGGCTTGAGGTTAGTAACTCAGGTGTGTAAGACTCTAGCCGAGTGATTCATTGGATGCTCTTTGAACTCCTTTCCCTTCTCCTTAGCATTTAGACCTCTTTTTTCCCCCATGTAATTTATAATAATATAAAATAAGCTTCATTTGTTAATAACAACTGTCTCTCTACAGTCTTGGGTCAACAGGAATTGTGAGTGATGTGTGTTTGCAGATCAAATTAAAGTTTTTAAATATTATTACAACTGATCAAATATTTTTGCAAGATAATCCACCAAGCCCAAGGATGTCATTCTTTGCCAAATAGCACTCTGAGGCTTGCTAACTGCAGTACATACAAATCCACACTTCTTTTTTTTGCGTTTCTTTGTTTCACAGCAAACATGAGCAGTGATTTCCTTTCGTTTTTCAGTGCTAATTGGTACGTTTTTCAATAATACTTAGAAAAATCTCATAAACCAGTTTTATAAAATATGTATATAATTTCCCATATTAAGCATCCTTTTATGCATAGAATGACAGCTAGTATGATGTTTTAACAGAACAGTTGCCTTCTGATTTATACTCCAAATTTAAATTAATTTTCAAAAAAAATCCACGTATACATTATTGTGGAATGGCCAAAGACATATACCAAATTGTTTGTTACTCCATTAATTCCATCAACCATTTACACAATAAATATTCATGAGCACCTACTATTCCCCAGGCACTGTGCCTGGGACCACAAAGTGAAACTATGTAATCCTGACATCAAGAAGTTGGCTCTAATGAGAAAGATATGTAAGCAAACGCAGCTCTAAAAGGTAATTGATACAAGAAAAAGTCATCTAAGAGTAGTGGAGAAATATGAGAAAGATCTAGGTAAGTCTACTGGGGAATTAGGGAAACTTCTAATTCTGAGAAACCAAGAAACCAAGCTGAGACCAGAAAAATGCGTAGGAAATTATCAGGTGGGTGAATAGGAAGACGCTATTTGTCAGTGAGAATAGAAGAAAAGCATGGAGGCTTGAGGGAGCCTGGGGTGATCAGGGGATGTGCAAGAGTAGGTTGTATTATTAAAGAGTAAATTAATGTAAAAGGCAGAAGCAGGAAGGGCTGGTGAGAAACTGAGGCCAATAGGGAAGGAGAGGCCAGGTCCTATCAGCCTGTACAGCAGGCAAAGGTGTGCCCATGTTTTTTCTCTCTGTAGGTGGTGGGGGAAGTAATTGAAGAATTTTGAATACAGAAGTTTCATAATCAAATGGGTATGTTCCTATTCTTAATAACAATATTGTGATTCTTTTGTTGTTAACAAGTTACAGAAATGGCAAACACAAGCACTTTGTTCTTAGGGGTTTCAATGGTTCTCATTGTAATACAGTTCAAGGATGCCAAAAGAAATATTTGAACTAAATGATATATCAGAATTACAATAAGAGCCTGTGAGCTGATTTTTAGTTAACAGGTTTTTAACAGGCTGTGTGATGCCATTCTTAATGGAGAAGATGAAATTACAAAAGATAGTCCATCTCTAATGGAAATTTGGCTGGGTGTGTTTTTATTCCTCAGCGAATGAAAAGGTTTATATAGGATTAGATCGTTGCGATTCTTGGGGAAAATACATATACACCCGGGAAAACCTTCCACTCATTTTCTTTATCTCTTGCAGGAAAGCAGTGAATCTGCTAGAAATAAATTTCACTCAACTTGAGCATAACTTTTATAATTTCAGGGGTTAAGCATCTGAAAGGCCAGAATGAATCAGTATTCCCTGAAGAAGAAGAAGGCGTAAACGAAAGAGAAGAGCAGTAGGACCATTAATTACGGGTCTGCAGCAAGAAGGCTTCTTGGGACTAACTGAACTATTAACTTTTCTGGATATCCCACGGAATGCCACTGCTCGACTTCCAGAAGTGTGCTCCATCTCTGCTCTCCACACTCGTCCAGTAGTAATAATACACCTCCTGGGAAGGCTTCTTGATTGAACTTTAGAACTAAGTACAGATTGTCCCATATCACTTACAAATAAAGAACAAGCATTTATTTTACAGTGATTTTTCTTTTTAATGACATAGAAATTTGCAAACATGTGAGTGTTCTAACTTTAACACTGCCAAGCTTAATCGCTGATGTTCTGTTGATACAGTTTGCCTTCTAAGGTCAAATGTAAATAGCATCAATTTAAGAGTAAAAAATAAATATTAAACACATCTAGACATGAATGTGTGTCTGGGTTTAACTTAAGGAGGAATATTTAGTGAAACTTTTAAGATCTGTATTTATCATGTTTCTGTATACAGAATTGTACACAGTATTTATTTCAAAATGATGAAGAGATGCTAGATTTCTTGATTCAAAAGACCATAATATGTTAGTCTTGAGATATTTAACATCTTTTTTCCTTCAACAATACGTTAATGGTTAAAGAACCACAGAATTCTCTTCATTTCCTAAATTGTAAGAGAGTGATTTCCCAGCATTTCTACTAGTTATTAAGAAAGAAAAATGCTAAATCTAAAATAAAAAATGCAAAATTTCACCTGCAACTGTTTTTTTGGCGATTATTTGTGATATGAGCTATTTCCTATTGCATTTTAATGAATCATTGGCATTTTATAAATCTTCTACTACCATATAATAAGGAATTCTATTAATTCATGCCTATAGTCATTCATTAATTCAACAACTAGTTTTTATGAGTTTATATCAAGGAAGGCACTTTGCTGAGGGTTATGCAAATAAAGGAAAGATAAATTATCCCCTATAGAATTGGCAGAGATAATAAAGCATTAATATAAAGCAAGGTTTCTAAGACAGTACATATTTATTAAATATAGCTTTTGATAATTCAAAGTTCTGGCCTCCTGAACAATGTTAATTATTTATGGCATGTCAATGTAAAAATTTAGTGGGGATGCAGGAATGCCCAGTTTGGTTCCCACATTGATGATATTAGCAAGGTTCAAATGTTT